TGTCTGTCCCACTTGATCTTCGATTCCTTGGCGGTGAGATGATGATAATTGTATTTAGCAAAAAATTATCGGAGAAACAAGGCCAGAAAAATCGAGCGCTGTATCGTGTCGTTGTCTTTTGAGTCTTAACACTTACCTTAGTGTAATAGTTTACAATTTGACTCTGGATGAATAAATAAAATAATTCGAAGGCGTTTATGATGAAGGAGACCCAATACCTGACCATTTACCTTCTTCATGTTCTAAATCTAGTCACTACATTGTGTGCATTTTTATGTGGATTGACGTATTCAATATTCCAGGATGGCTGCAGTGGTGCAAGGTTCGATCCGACAACGCTTTCATGTGGACTCTCATATAACGACAAACATTTCTGCACCAACGGAGGAGTCGTGCTCCAGTACGAAGCTAAGGAAGTCACCTGGATCCACTGCGTTAATTGCTGTTGGTTTGCTTTTTCTTTGAAAGCTAGCCACAGAGTTGAAACTCAACAACACTTCAGATTCGCTGCGACCCCAACCAGTGAAGGAAGATGACGACAAAAACGAAGCTGAACCTGATGCATCGACCACACAGGCGACATCCGACATTGATAAGACCACAGATAATGGTGAAGCCGAACCTGATGCATCGACCACACAGGCGACATCCGACATTGATAAGACCACAGATAATGGTCATAATTCAATCCAATCAACCGTAATTAACGATACCCTTGTACCTGAGGAGCAACTACAAGGTTTTCTTGCAAAAGGTCATCATTAAAATGAATTACCGTCTGGGTGCGACTAAAACCACTAACATTTTTTGATCACCAAACAATATCCACAGGATGTTTGCGAGACATTTTTGGAAACATTTGTTCGTTGAACTAACTCGTACTAACTAAGGGAGAAGGGCTCAGTATATTTATTAAATTTTATAGTCGTTTTTGAGTAGAGATCCCTTTAAGCTAATGTTCAGGTTAGTAGGATAACTAGGTAAATGCTGGTAGCAACTTGTCATCAGTCAGTTTCGTCGCTAGCACCTATTAAAGAACTGGATTATTTTTCTGTAGAAGCAAGTTCTTTGAAAACGACTATCTGCACTAACTGGGGTCGTGGCAGCATGACGATTTGTGATACTAACAATAAATAAGAATAAATAATGTTCAAATGAACATATCCGCATTGATAGGAAATGAAACGAAACTAAATAATAATCGAAAATTGTGAAGACTTTGAGTCCCAACGCGAACTGAGCTTGCCACCACAATTTCACTAATTGCATGACTTTTTGATGAGGAGATCTGTTCGTCGATTGCATTTTGACCCTAGCATGATTTTCATCGGAACGAGTCACCGAGGGCACACTTGTCACTAATATTCTGTCGATATCATGAGTTTCAGGATGCATTGTGAACTTCCAAATTGTCGAATTTGAAGAACGTCCACCCCAATTCACTTCAGCATTTGAGACGACATTAAGTACCGATACAGCGGAGATATGTGCATATCGATGTTATCAGGTATCTATCGATGTTAGAAGGCAGCTAGCTCTTTCAAAACGCTTTGACTGTTACAAAGAACTTAATATCAAGTTGAGTAATAAGTATTGTACGCTTATTCAAAAAAACCAGTTTTTGAATCATCTTTTGGTTGCTCCCGCCGAATTGTCACGGAAGAGCCTCAGCATACTTGCATGCTGCTCAATTTGAACGCCCTTACTGGCCACTGTGAAGCAATAATGACGTCTACTCCGAGTTACGCTTGACGCTTACTTTTTCTGAAATCCGTCCAGAATGTTCAACAGGAGAAGCCTGCCGCAGCATTCGTGCCTCATAAGGACTGGACGCGGTGAACGAAAGCACCTGTTTTCGTTGGTTCCAGATGTTCAGGGAAGGTCACTTACTTCAAGCTGAAGCACTTTTGGGGCGCCCAGTAAAATCGATTTTGGTCGGACTGACGAGCTCTTACAAAGCAATCCGTACGCGTCAACTTGCCGCAGACGTCATTGGACTGATATTACTGCCGACTTTGAGAGCTGATGCTCTTCCTTAGTTAGAGTCTACAAGAGCTGCATCATTGCGATTTGCTGGTGGTAGCACCACCGTTGAGACACACCTGCGGTTTGTAGCTGCAAAGAGTTGCTGCGCGAACCAGATTTTCAGTCTCCTATTCAAGAAGTTTTCCTACTACACGACAACGCACGCACACATGTCACGAAGGAAACTCAAAGGACAACATACGGATTTGGCCTCGTAGTTCTCCCCTTCCAAAATATACTACTGATCCGCACAGATAAACACCACTTGTTTCGTTCGCTTCTCACTTCTTGGAGAACGAGAGCTGCGATGATCACAAGCACATCGAAAAGGACCTCTGGTTATTGTTTGCGTAAAAAGTAGCAGAGTTTTGGCGAAAAGGTATCCATTCCATAATCATTCAATGGAGTAAAAATGTAGTGAATTTTGGTAAATATTGCGTTTGATAAGGTTGACTCGAAAAAGTTGTGTTCTGATTCTGAATGACCAGTATCATAATCTGACACTACTTATTACTCAACCTAATAGGTTATTGGTTATTTGGAAAACCAAAATAATCGCAAGGTCTCAAACCGAAATTCCCTCCACATGTATGTTGACTAGCTGGTTAGAAGTTGATATGCTTAAGTACTTTGGCAGCAATCGAACCAATGGTTTCTTACAAGGTTGAGCAGACAGTTCTCCTGACATCTTCAGTGCCCATAGCAACTGACTGATTGCTTGCGACGACACATTCTCACCAACAGAAGAATGCCTTTCATGCGACATCATAATGAAACCGTCGTCGCTTAGCAGAAATACTCAGTGTCCTGTGTGGATTATTTGTCTTCTATCCGCAAACCGCTGAACTCCTCTGGTTTATTGGAATCAGCAATAGCATTTTGTAAATCTGCTCGGTACGTGGTCATCATCATGCCGGAAAACGCTGGGTTCAGTGTTCTCCGCGTACTTGGAACGCCCATCTTATGAGCAGCTTCTCTTGGGACAAAGTCCAAGTTATGATCTGGCGTCCATCCTGAGCACGGAATGATGTTATAGTAAAGAGAATAAAGTCTTCTGGCTTCAATGAATCCTGTTTATAATGTTTATGAATACACAATGCAATATTCGTTCTTGGTTGTTTGTGTCGAATACAATGCTGAGCTGTGAAAGGGGGTCACCATTAGAGAAATACCCCATGTGCACATGGTTTTTGTGGACAGAGCTTTCGAAGGTTAGGTATATAATGACCCTGACTAACATAAAACGCTTCATCCTCCATCCATTTCAAGCAAATTTAGTTCTAGTCGAGCTCGTGGTCGTGGATGTGGTGTAGTGCCACTAAACTGAAACTTAATCCATCAACCCTGATGTATACCATTAATAACCAGAAGGTATCAATTGACTGATACCTTCACATAGACGTTTTTGACTGATTGGTACCAGGCTCATGTAAGATAAACGTTGATCATCACATTAGCACCCTCGCAAGCATTATATGGGCCACGTATAAGTCCTGTAGATTTTTCTGAATGGAAGTCGAATAAGGTGGCGCATTTCAGAAAAAGTTTTTCTGCGTCGGCTTTATTATCAGTTAATTTCTACTAGAGTGGAGGGACTTCTCAATTTATTTCTCATAAACACCTTCAGAATGTCTAGTGAACTGCCACTTAAAAATCAAAACTGGCTCGAAGTTAACTACCTTGAAAAAGTCCTCGATTGATTGTTTCCGACCATTTCCTGTCTAAGAATGGGATCGGAATTTTAAAAATATCTGATATAGAGTTTCACAATTGATTGCAGTTTGAATAATTACTATATTTTTTGTCATGACCTTTCATTGGAATTCTAGAACGGTTTCTCATATTTGAAGAGTCACTGAAGTAATCGAAGACACATTCCGCGGTCACATGCAGAACATCTGTAAAAATATGCTATGGCAAGGAGATAATCCCTGCTTGGTGCCATAGGGGGCATGGCACGAAAAAAACTTGCGAACGGGATTTTAAANGATTGATTGTTTCCGACCATTTCCTGTCTAAGAATGGGATCGGAATTTTAAAAATATCTGATATAGAGTTTCACAATTGATTGCAGTTTGGATGATTACTATTTTTTTTGTCATGACCTTTCATAGAAATTCTAGAACGGTTTCTCATATTTGAAGTGTCACTGAAGTAATCGAAGACACATTCCGCGGTCACATGCAGAATATCTGTAAAAATATGCTATGGCAAGGAGATAATCCCTGCTTGGTGCCATAGGGGGCATGGCACGAAAAAAACTTGCGAACGGGATTTTAAAAGCATGAGATGACCTAGTCTTCAAATCCGCGTAGCGCTTACGAGTCCATGAGATAGCAGAAAGCTGACGATTATTGAGCCATCTCGCTTCTCACCATTGGGCACCTACATAGCAGAGTTCAACAATTCGATAGTAATGTTAAAATGTGGTGACGTATACTTATGTCCAATAATGTAAACTGTCAAATTAAGGACGGCTGTACCGGTGCGAAGTTCGATCCGAAGTCGATGATGTGCTCACTTTCGTATAACGACAAACCATTCTGTTCATCGGAGAAATTCGTACAAGTAGCTCGACCAGAGGAACCAGTATTCATGCATTGTTTCACTTGCGGTAAGTGCACATTTTTAATGAAATTTCCCGATCACACTCTTATCAAAAGTTGACATCAGCACATCGAACATGTTTCCAATGTTATTCGTTGGAGAGATTCGTGAATAATTTACAACCACTCTTTTTGATGGTACTTCCACACTGCCAAACTGTCCGTTTGTGGAAGGCATTCATGAGTTTTTTTTTGCGTTTGAAAAAACTTGAAAAAAGAACTGGTTTTTAAGCGGAAGCAGCTAAGCATTCCAAGCAATCAAGATGTCCTTGGAAAAAAAACAGCCTTGACTTTCCAATCTTTTATTCGGCATTTATTGAGAAAAAATCGTGAAGGTAAAAAGTGCAGTGGAACTTACGTAGTCAGTGATATCTATTCGAATTGAAGCATTTCTTTCGATATTTTTATTAAAAGGGCTGAAACTGCATCATCCAAGCAACTTTCTTGAGACATTTTGATAGACCCCGGATCCGTCTGACAGAAATGAGTTTCATCGATGTACCGTCGTCTCGTGCAAGAGTCGACTTCATTTCTGTCGAACGTACTCAAAGGGAGAGTGCACGTTAAAAATGATCTTCGAGATTTATTTATAGGACGGACCTGTGAACTCCAAAGATAGCGCAAGGGGCGCTTTCGGGTCAAAAAAAAAACTGCTAAGATAGAGCGTAATGGGAACTCCAAAGCCGGCTTAGCCGACGTACAAACGCAAGGCGTACGAATTGTAAGCGTTGTAGCTGTTGAGGTAACACCGTTCGCACCAGGACGCACACTTTGCATGAAAGCAACTCACTGTAACCATTTGTGCGTATCGGCACACACATTTGGACAGCTCGTCGAATATCCCTTCCAAACAACTTTTGTGGTCACATTCTCACAAAACCTCTATTTTTACTAATACTTTGAACCCTGAGAATTCTCAAAATACGTCGATTTTCCCGCTTTTTAAATTGGGCTATCACTTCCATTACCCTTCTATAATAGAATTAGATACCCCAAATCCTAGTGAACTGTGCCTCTAAAACCGCTACATACCTATCTGAGCTCTAACCTCATGACCTGTAGTGAATAGAGTCTTCGATCGATGGCACCTTGACCTTGCTTCACTCAAGAAAGATACACCATGAAGTTGCAGGTAGCTGCAGGTATAGCCTATGCCTGAAAAATGTGATGTAGGCGTCAACGATAAATTAGTTATGTCATAAAATGATCGTCTCAGAATCGTTATCGTTCATCAACTTTTCTTTACGATATGGAACAATTTTTGCAGTTAGTTTCACTGTCTCTAAGCGACGTAGTTAGCTCCTACCGAGAATTTTTCCTTTAGTATCCACTATTTGTTTCCACGTTCAGGCACCGGCTTGATCAGCGGAAGGCGACTAGCTGAGTGCGCATGCCCATTTCTGAAGTCTATGTCTTAGAAGCAGTAAATATGCTCTGCTAAGTTTGCAAAAATAGAGTTTACACCAGCGGTAGTCCGACGTTGACGGCATGGCTGCTAGAGAACCACAATCACAACAGTCATGTTTAGAAACTGCGTGAAAATCAGCGATAATGGTATGGTGTCAACGGTGTTAGCGCCCAGTTCTGCATACAGTTAAGAGCTCTCAAAAGTGACAGGCCTTGAAAAATTTTTGAGCGGATCAGAACTCCAAAGTTGAAACACTTACTGCGAAGTTCCGAAAGGTTGCTCATTTGATAACTCGCACGGGAGTTAGGTCCTTTATCTCCAGGAAGCGTGCTGGAAAGAAACAAGGATGAGCTAAATTGATAAAGATGAGAACATTTGCTGCGGAGAAGGCAACGAATGAAGTGGCAGGCGGGGTTACAGCAGTGGCAGAGTCCCATACAACTCCGTCTCCACTATCAGAAAGGTCGAAGATCAATTCATGACTAGGAGGGGTTCTCGAACAATAACGCCAAAATGCATCATATACGGACAGCCCCTAAACCGATTTTGCGACATCACGTAAGAGCACATTGAGGTAGGTGGTAAAATGTTAAGTGATTGCGCAGCCAGTAGGGTGGCGGTTGCGTAGGCGTAAAGCGATGTTGCCTTTTTGATGCATGTTCTCGTTTCGAAAAAGAGCAGGAGACGTGTCTTCTACAAGACCGTTTACGCTTCCAGGCTGAGTGAGGGAGGCAGATTGTCAGTGGGGTGAATAGAGCCCTCGAGGTGGCCACTAAATCCCATACCACACATAAAAAAAGCTCTCAATACTATGTTCCATAATTTGTTTCGCAGATTTGGACTGCGGATTTAAGATCAGCGTTCGAAAATGCGTACAACGGCATACTTAACATTTTGCATGGCCACTGCTTTCCACCGTTCCCTTGTCCTCGCGACGGAGAATTCTCCTAGCCTCTAGCTAGTCCACTTTCTTGTGTTCATACGCTTTCCTGTCGTAGTGTTATTCACTAATGTCAACAGTTCACTCAACGAGAGAAAAGCCGTAAATACTGAAAATATGTTCGTCGCCGACGGATAGCGAGTTCCTCTGTTCATCAAAGGTCGGCTCTTTCTGGTATGGTGGATAACCTGGAGATCAGGAAGATGATAAAAGGCAGAGAACTGTCAGAAAATGGGGAAATAGTATTTGGTGTAAGTGAAGATCGATTTCGAAGGATCGAACGGCGCGAAGGTAAGGAAAAACACCAACAGATCGGGAACCTAGCAATATGAAGCACTCACTGCAGCTTTGTCCTGTGGTAATAACTGTGAAGGTAGCCCTACCAACTAAACTCCTGCAATTCGGCATAGGAACATGGCCAGAGTGCGATGCAGTAGAATGGGAATGACGAGTGAAAATGCTGAATTTGTTGTCCTTATTAGTCGCTCACCAGACAGTTTGATAGTGGAACGGCATTCAAAGCCTTGACGAGAACTCTTTTTGAGCGCGTGCCGTTATCATTGCATGTAATTGCAAAGTGTAAAAGGCCGCACTTCTCGCTACTTGAGTGCATTTTACACTATGAAAGTGTTACCTATGTGCCTAATATTACAAACTCATACCTAAGACGAACTTGTTCAAAAGCAGCAAATGAGAATCAGCAGTTGCATTTTTTTTGAGTTGTCCTTTCATTCACCCAAGTAGGTCAGGATGTGATTGATGTAAGGTAAAGCGTCAATTTCGGTAAGAATTTTGAAAGTACACACAACTGCATGGCTTTCAAAGAAATCGTTTCAGTTCCGCACAAACCAGGGAGCAAGCTAGGGGCGAGCATCAATACAATAGGGGAGAAAAACGAAGACATGAAGTCAGGTAAATACAGATCTAGTCTCAGGAAAGGTAGCCATTTTAGTATCGAACTATTTTTTTCAGAGGTGGTAACAAAAAATGGCACACAGCCAAGCGAGGCAACTGGGGAGAAGGAGGTTGCAGAAACTTCAACAGGAGCAAGCGAACCGTTTTCCACTACTCTATCAGAAGGAGAAGGACTTTCTCCTACGACACCTATACCGACTTCCCACGCAGATGGAGCAGGCGAAGAGGTAACCACTGAAGGAGGTGAGCAGACGAAGGCTTCGACGACAGAGCCTATCGAATCCAGCGGAGAAGAGCCAGCTGTGGATAACAAAGCGCCCAACGTTGCGTCGAACGTAGACGAGGAACCAGCTTCAACTTCATTAGAAAAAAGCGAGT